CCTATTCAAGCTTGATGGATCATCTTTTGAATGTAATTCGAGCTTGTTTAGGTGTTGGTAGTGTTATTTCCTGTTGAAGCTAAAAAATAAGTTAAAATTGAGAAATTTTTATGGGAGGTTAGAAATAACCAATCCTTAATGTGTATTTTTCCTTGGAGATGGCATTGGAAATAGAGGAGAAATATTTTTGCTTGGGAAGATACTCTTTTGCAGTATTTAATTGAAGCTCTGCAAGGAAAACAGCCTAAGCAAGGACAAAAGGACTGCTGGAGTTGGAAACATGATTCAAAGGGCATCAGTTCAGTGAGCTCGGCATAGAAGCTTCTAACATCAGATTAACAAGGTAGTGAAATTGGCAAGTACAAGCTGATATGGAGCAAAAAGGCGCCGCTGGAGGTCTTGGTTTTTGTTTGGAGAGCATTGCAGAATAGAATTCCAACAATGGAGAATTTGTTCAAAAGAAGAGTCATACGTGATAGTGCTGACATTTCATGTATTCTTTGTGGAAAACAGAGGTAGAAAGCCCAAATCATCTCTTATTTAGCTGCAACCTGGGAAGTTTGGTCCTTATGCTATGCATGGTGGGGAATAAATGTAGCAACACAAGTTGAAGGACTGAAGCATCTACAACATCTGGTCTATTTCTGAACAAAAGACTTCAAGATGCAGTCTGTTTTGCAGCAAGTGTGGTCCATATGGTTGTGGAGAAATTGTGTGATCTTCAAACAAAGTGTAGACCCTCAAACTCAGGTAGCTGAATTAGTTAAATTTCAATCATTTTACTGGATTAAAGGTTGCTTATGGCCGGAGTTATCGAAGGAAGCTTGGGTCACATCCCCGGTGGAGGCTTGCAAGCTGTCAATGAACTAAAAGGAATGGAATCTACCAAAATTAGTTCCCTTTTATACTGATAAGAGTAAAATGATGGGCTGATGTTGGCTTTGTAATTCTTTTACACTAATTTTATAATGAGTTGAAATATTCTTTGTATTTTATTCTAATTTATATTTATTTTGTTGATTAAAAAATATGTATTTTTTCTTTTGCATTAATAAAGAATTAAGAAATATATATTCCTTTAAAAATAGAAGGAATACAAATTTTTCGTTGATCCTTTAGTTTAGAAGAAAATTTAAAACATTAAGTCTTTCAATTATATCTTCCTTGAGCTGTTTCTCAAACTGTACCTTATTTTTGTAGTTTGGGGAGGAATCACTATTACCATCAACCTAA